TATACGGAAAGGACAAGGATAGAGTTTGAAAAAGAAGTGATGAAGGGATTTGCATTTTAGAAAGATCATCTTTATGAAGGGTGCTTAAAGGGTGGGGAGGCATGCACTAGAGATCTCAGACTACAACAACCAGAGTTACCTAAGAATATTACATTATCATATAGACAACCTAGCACAGAACCACGAATCCGAAAAAAAATAAATAAATAAATACTAATGTATATTCTAGAATTAAGTATTTCTTCTTGTTGCTGTGAAGTGCTGTCGAGTCAATTCCGACCCATAGCAACCCTGTATAGGGTATCCAAGGAGCAGCTGGTGAACCTGAACCGCCGATCTTGCAGTTCACACAACTTTTCAGTCTTCTTCGACATCTTAAAAGAGGCAGCTATAATTGGGAATGATAAATAAAAATTGTATATAACTAGTTGTAATCTGAGAACTGGCATCTGTCATTTTTAGTATACATAATACTACAGATCTGAAAACCAACGCAATGCAATCTTGCATCAGAATTCAATTGTTTAAGGACAGGGGCGTTTCAAGGAGTCCTCAGGTGGTGCTAATGGTAAGCACTGATTACTAACTGAAAGCTGGTGATTTGAACTACCCAGAGGCACGATGGGCGGGAGGTCTGGAGTTCTGCTTCCAACAGCTACAGCCTTAAAAACTCCGTATTGTTGTTGTTGCTGTTGTGAAGTACCATCGAGTCGGTTCCAACCCGTAGCAAAAACTCAATATAGGGCAGTTCTATTCTGCATACATGAACTTGTCAAGTGTCAGATTCAATTCAACAGGAAATTGTAAAATTATTATTACTTTTTTTCTCCTTTTTGCTTTAATATTACACAAATGGCACCTGAGGTCCTGAGACCCTAAAGGATCACCGAGGTGACATGGTCAGTAGTGCAGTGACGATTAGAGCTCAAGTCTTGTGACTTCCTTTCTAGAACTTGCTTTGTTGTTGTTGTTGTTAAGTGCCATCGAGTCGGGTCCGACCCATAGCGACCCTGTACAGGGTTTCCAACTTGCTTTAGCATGCCACAATTATGATTCTAGACTTCTGAAGGATAGAGCAACCAAAAGACACTTTAGTACAGTTCTACAATGTAATAGTAAAATAAAAAAACTGGAATCTTAAAAAAAAAAAAAATCTCCCTGAAGTCTGGACCAAAATAAGAACACCTTCTACCCTGCCACAAAACACGCCCTCTTGTCAGGTACTACTGAGTCAATTCAGACTCATAGTGACCACATGGGACAGAGCAGATATCCCCATAGTCTTTATGTAAGTAGACTGTGCTAAATGGGTTCAGCTAACAGCTCAGCGTTTAACTGTTGTGCCATCGGAGTTCCTTGTCCTTCTCTGGTCTTCTTGTTAATTGTCGCGGTGTCAGTTCCGACTCTCAGAGACCCTGTTCAAGGTTTCCGAGGAGTAGCTGGTGGGTTTGAGCTGCTAACCTTGTGGTCAGCAGTCTAGTGCTCATCCTACAGCAGCACACCAGAATATTCTCCTCTAAGGAGGCTAAAAACGTACTTTCTCAAACCCAGGAAAGTTAAATCTGAAATAAGAAAACCCTAAAATTCATCTATCTTTCTATAGTTTAACATCCAACAACTAATTATGTTTTCATATTTTATTTAGGTTTCTTTCTTATTTCTTTCACTAGTTGGTTTGGTAAGGAGGCCTCATGGTATAGTGGGTTACAAGTTGGGCTGCTAGCCATAAGGTCAGCAGTTCAAATCTACCAGCTGTTTCTCAGGAGAAAGATGAGACTTTCTGCTCCTGTAAAGATTTACAACCTTGTGGCACTATATGAAAAGTGAGAATTCACTCTACAGCACTTAACAACAAACCCTATACAGAGTTTCTGTACGTGGAAACAGACTTCACAGCACACTATCACCACCTGGTTCAGTACATAAAAGTGGAACTAGCAACACTAAAAAATATCCACCAAAAGGTTTTCAGTTTTTAGACTTCTCTAACTTACATTTAGAGTCCTGGTGTGACACTGTGGGTTAATGCACTAGGCTGCTAGCTCGGTCTGAACTGCAAGGTCAGTGGTTCAAGCTCATCCTCTGCTCCTTGGAAACCCTTCAGGGTCGCTATGAGTTGGAACCAACTTGTCGGTACTTCACAATAAGAACTTACAGTTACTTTTAAATCGGTAATGTCTGTTCACTAAAATGGATTAAAATAACACAAAAGCATAAGAATAGAGCAGTATCTCTCTTCCATGCCTCAGCAACTCCCTCCTGAAACACTCCTCACACACTGGTAAGTTTGATATGCATCCTTAAAAATACACAAACATACACACGTAAAATAAGACAATAATCCTCAGAGTCAATTTATTTTTATATAACAGCAGAACTCTATGATCATACTAAACATAATTTTAATTTTTCCTTTAGTAATTAAGAAGGTAGATGATCATTTTTGGTTTCTTGTTATCATGGCAGAGGCTATTAAAAAAAAGAAAAGAAAAAAAAAGGTGAGCTGAACTCCAAGAACACTTCCTCAACAAGACCACAATTATTTTATGTATTTATTGTCTTTCTCCCCTTCTTGATGTAGGTTACAGGAAGACAGAAATCACTGAGTACTTTGTCACTAGTAAGTACTACAACTCCTAATAGATAATGAAACATTGCTGATTGATTAATCTCTGCTTATTTAGAAAATATGAAACCTGCTTCATTTAACATTTGTCTTTCTACTAGAAGTAGTGAGAGAGAGAAAAAAAGGTCTGCTTACGGTTTTTTAGCTATAGTTCCAACCAAGTAGTTGCTCAACCGATCGTTTCTGATAACTATAAAAGTTGATAAGGCATTTTGACTTGACTGATAACCATAAAGAAAAAAGACAAAAAAAAAGGGAGAGTTGAATTTAAGTTCCTCAAAAAGTTCAATATTGCTAATGTAGGATTTCCTTGGTTTGGTTTGGTTTTTTAATTATTGCAAAATTCAAGGACTAAGTTCACCTATCCTATCTCTCTCATTTGAAGATAAAAAGAAATGTCGTTTTAAAAAAAGATTGTGACTAAGAAAAAGACAAAAGTAGGCAAAATTCTTTACTTCGATAATTTATGTTTATCTAAAATTTTATATGTACAAAATTGCTAACTACCAACCCCACTGTATGCCACCCTAGACTTCATTTACAGGCTAGGCGTCTGTAATAACAAGGAGCCCTGGTGACACAGTGGTTAAAACGCTCAGCTGTGAACCAAAAGGTTTGTAGTTTGAACCCACAGGCAGCTCGGTGGGAGGAAGCTGTGGCAGCCTGCACCCGGAAAGAAGACACCTTTGGAAACGAACGGGGTTAGTGCCACAGCAGGGCTTTTTATGACGGAAGTGCTGAACTAGAATGGTCAGGCAGCCACAGAGACTTTCTGACCTGTACATATTTTATATACGTACGAACCACAAGGTCGGCGGTTCAAACCCACCAGCCGCTCCTCGGAAACCCTATACAGGGTCGTTACGGGTCGGGACTAATTCAAGAGTGCTTAACAAAAACAACAACAACACATATATACAGATCATTTTATTTGACTTCTATAAACGTCTGTGCATCTAAGACTAACTATATCCTTACAATGAAGCTGTTAGGCAGGGCTCTCTAAAAGAGCTCAACTAGCCATCCTTAAAGGTCTCAAACTACACGCTATTTAAATGTGTTATCAGGAAGCTGAAATGCTTTTCAAAGGACAGAGAAAGTCAGGGCACACTTGTCAGCAGCACTTGACTGCCGGACACTCAAACCAGACTTCAGGGCAAGCAGAGTAATGCAGATCAGCAAGGCAGACCACCTAGGAAGGGAAGGGAAAGCAAACCGCACAGCCTTCCGCACCTTCTGTGGCTGCCTGGCTCTCAGGAGCTGTATCCACACTCAACCTACAACTACTGGCTTCCTTAAAGAACCCACTGACTCCTTGCCTGCTAAGGTGCTGCCAACTTTCTAGCTTCCCAGAACTCCAGCGAGATCAACACGCCCCCATAGGAATCCCGGGGGAAAGCAAAGAAAACTGCAGAACAAACCCACTCTTTCTCCAACAAGGAAACAACACGGACCGGTCCTCTACCTAAGCAACGCGTGCAATCCCACCTAGCGATGGGAAACAGAGCAGAGCTCGGCCCAAACAGGTTCCAGGTTCCAGGTTCCTGACCCTCTGCAGACTGTCCACAGGGCCGGCACACCATGCCACTGAAACGCCCTCCTCCCCGCAGACCCGGCGCTCGCTGAGCCGAGCACACTCCCCAAGACCACCCGGGGACCCGTTAACTCGCCATTCTAAGTTACTGCCCCCCACTGGACAAAACAGAAACCTCGGTATAGACGCTGCTTTCGGCCCCCAACAAACCCACCACGGCGGCCCCAGACTCAGGAGCTCGCAGATACACCGCCCTCTCGCCCCGAAACGCGATAGGCAGTCCCCATCCCCCGTTTCCGGAGCCCTATTTAAGCTCCTGCATCTTTATCCCAAGAAAGTGAAATCGACGCTCACTTTCTCAATGGACCCCCGAGATCGCAGTGGTCTGTTCCCTCAGAGACCCAGGACCTTGCAAAACTGCATGGGATGTTCTCAATGAGCCCCGAGATCCCGATAAGCAGAGCCCGCGTCCCGGAACCCCGCCACTCCAGCTCGAGGAACCCGAGGACATTCATAAATCTTCCTCGCTCCCGAAGCCCCAGGACCTCCGATGCCGCCACCCAACACACCCCCTAGCTGAAGGAGCCCCAGGATCCCAATAAACGTCCCCTCACCCCGAGGAGTCCTGGCGTCCCCTACACCACCCTCCGGCGCCCGCCTCCAGACCCCACCAGTCCGTCTCTTCGCCCCTCGCACTCCCGAGCCCACCAAGCCTCGCGCCCACCAGGCAGCGCCGAGCCGCCCCCGGAGCCGCCCCCATCGGGAGTCCGCCTGCCCCAGCTGCTCAGTGTCGCCGTTCGCGACCGCTCTTCAGTGGAGAGACGCTCGGGGTTTCCTCACCTGGGCAGCGTCGGAGGACGAGCGGACCGGGGATCCCTGAGGAAGAGAAGGAGGCGGCAGTGAAGGGACGGCCCAGGCCTGCGGCTGCCGCAGCTACAACCTTTCAGCGAGGCAGCGCTTGTGTGAAGCCAGCCCTCCAGCTCCGCGCGCAGCCGGGAGACTGAGCCACAGCCGTGCCCGCCGCTCTTCCCGCGAGATCCCAGCCACGGCGAGGGGCGGTAGTGGTGGCTCCTCGAGTGACGGCACTGAGAGCCAATCGGCGGCGGAGCAAGAGGCTGGACTCAGCGCCCATTCCAACCAATTGTACAAAAGGAAAGGTGGATCGCCCCTCCCACTGCCTCCTTACTCCTCCCTCCCCTCATCACAAAACCTAAGGCAAAGGTGGTATGATGTTAAGTATCCCTAGAAAGTAGACTTTCGCGGTAAGGTAACTTGGTAGTGTGGCTTGGCCTGTTTCTGGTCCTGCTCAGTCGCCGTAAATCCATCTAGTTTGGAGAAGAAGCCGGTCTTCATACCGGTGTCATGCTGAGGCTCTGTTTGTTACCTTTGGTTACACGGTGGCCTGAAGTGAGTGACGCAAGAGGTTCCCTGGCACATCCGTGGTCTAAACCTCTGTTTAATGCAGACGCTCCAACACACATACACACACACACACCTCAGTCTCTTCTCCACCTCAAACAGGTTGCCGTTGTTAAAATGCCCGTGTTTCCCAAAACCCAATTTGGGACATTTGGTCTGACAAAGGACTCTCTTCTGATTCATACATTTATTTATGCTTATTAAACCTTCCAGAAGGCTAAAAAGTAAATCTCACCAACATAACAAACTACAAAATTACATGAAAAATCCCATCTCGGTAGAGCCCAGTGCCTAGTTGTGTCTGGCACATTCAGGACATTGAATAAATGGAAAAGGAGTGAATGGAAAAATGTGATATTTAAATATATAAAATTTGGACGTGCCTCAGAAAATGTGGGCTCTCCTGGAGTTTCTGCTATAATGACAGTGATTCGCCTCTGGATTCAGTCCAGAGTCTTCATTATCATGCCTGCCTGTAGCTTTCATTCATCTTTCCTTCCTCATTCATCCATGCAGCAAGAAGTGACCTTTCTCTTCATCAAGGTTAACTCCTCCACCTGGGTACTGGATTCCAGTCATTCTCAGATTTTGTTTGATTAACTATCCCTTCTTTACCCATTATCAATTTCTCCTTCTATTCTAGTTTCTTTCACCCACAAACACACTCACCCTTAGAACAACCTTGGAACAGGACAATATCACCCTACCTTTCAACCTCTCAACTGACCGTTCTCCTTTCTTTTCAAAATTAAACTTCTTGAGAGACACATTAAAGTATATTTGCTGTCTCCTCTCTTCTCATCTCTCATTTTTTCCACTACAGTGTTGCTTTCACACACACAATCTACTGTTCTCTCAGTGGCGACAAAAGACCTCTTTCCTAATGGACAAAGGTTCTATTTTTGAACATCATTCCCAATGACTTCACTGCAGCCTTTTGATAATGCTGATCATCTCCTTGTTCAGTACCTGCCCTACATTCTCCTGATTCTCTTCCTACTTCATGGAGTTTTTGTTTGTTTGTCTGTCTGATTTTGATCCTTTTTCTGGTTTGAAAATGGTTGCATATTGATGTTGCCTTATCTTATAGCCATTTTGTGTATGATAAGAAAAATGACCACACAATTGCACATTTGGAGTGCTAATAAGTGGCTCAGACAAAAGCCAGAGGGAGAAATTATGACTGTGAGATTTGAATGCGATCTTAAAACAGAAGGTTGGACCCATATCAATACAGAGCAGAAGCTGAGAACTTTGTGCAAGTGGAAGAGATAATATTTATGGTCCTGGGCACAGAGAAAAGGATGTGGCCTGAGCCCAGCAACCGGTTGGCCACTTTGGTAAATGCAACATCCCTGCAAAAGAGCAGTGGGAAGTAAGATTAGAGAGGAGTGTTATCATAAAAGGTCTTGAAGACTAGATCAAGCTGATCCAACTTGATTCCTTATTAAACGGAAGATCAAGACCAACCTTAATGTGTATAAACCGACAACTGTGGAGTCAGAAACCTCATCTTTCTCTCAAACAGCAACTGGTGATTTTGAAACATTGACCTTGTGGTTGGCAGTCCAATGCTCAGCCCACTACACCATGAGTGCTCCTTAGCATGTATGTTGTTTGTTGTTGTTAAGTGCTGTCGAGTCTGTTCCAACTCTGTGACTCTGTATCAGGTTTGCAAGGAGTGACTGGTGGGTTTGAACCGCCAACCTTTCCATTAGCAGTCTAGTGCTTATTCTACAGCTCCACATCAGGATTCCAGGGCCAGATATAGGCAAGAAGGGCCTAAGTGGATTCATTTTAAAAAAGCACAGGGCTCTCCTGGTTGCATCTCAAGGCAGTACTAGTAGAACCATTGAACTTCTTTAGTCAGGTAACAGCATGTATAGAAAATCTATGTGTTTCTGTTTCCCATTCCCTCTGTTCTCAGACTGGTATATTACTGGTTGGAAGGTACTAGAAACAGAACTCTGTTCCCGACTCAATTTTTCCATTGCATCTTCTCTACAACCCAATTTTATAATTGTACTGTTCCAAGATCCTCTTATTAATTAGTGCATCAGAAACGTGGATGTCTCTAAATGTGAGAAAATAGAAATGCTATGAAGAGCCCTCAGCCTGGAATAAAGCGTGGAACACTTACATTTGACTTCAAAATAAAAATACTTTGGAAGTAGGAACTCTTGTAGAGGCCCCATGTGAAGGGCACACAGGCAGGATGAGTACTAAAAGGCAGTAAGCCACTGCAGACCGGGGCCATCCGTCTCACCATCTGTCTTTATGGCATGATGCTTCACTCTGTGGTCTGACAGTCACGCTCTGTTCTTGCAACCTCTCCATCTGGAACCAAGTGCTCCCTTCCTCATGTCATGTGCCAAGAGCCACCAAGGAGCCAGTGTCATCACGGTCTCTGCTTTGGAGACCCAAGCTTAGAATCCAGCTCGTGGATCCCGCACATCCCTCCATGGTGCTGCCGATGATGCTAGTGTCAGGCTTTGGCTCTTGCTTGATCCCAGGCCTGGGTCTACTCCTAGCCTCACACTCACCATCTGTGACGGGTCTTTGCCAACCAGCAGCAGAACAGAGCTGGCTAATTTCTTACTCAGGTCTTACCATCTGTTGCCTATGTTCTGATCTATTCATCTAGGTCAGTACAACCAAACACTGTTCCTGTTCAGAAGCCATCCTTACCGGTGTCCTACTGTCTGAGCACACACTGGGCAAAGCTATATCCTGAGACCCGCGCATTCATGAGTGCCAGAAGAAAGTATTGTGCGGAAAACTGGAAGAAGAAATCTGGCTTTCTCGTATCCACTATATCCTTTTAGAGTCTTTGGGGACACCACTTTGTTTAGGGTGGGAGGCTGAACTTTTGTGTGAATTGCCCTAAGACTGGAGGGGGTAGGTAATGAATTCATCCATTTTCTGAAAAGATAAACCCCCTGACCTTGCTTTATGCAGATAAAACCAGCTGCCATCCAGTTGATGCTGTGCTCCATAGGATTTCCAGTGGCTGATTTTTTTTTTTTTTAGAAGTAGATCACCAGGCCTTTCTTCCAAGGCACCTCTGGATGGACTGGAACCTGCGAACTTTCAGTTGGCAACTGAGCAATTAACGATTTGCACCACTCCTTTTTGCAGCTATCCAATCACAAAAGGAACAAATTAAGAGAACTTTGTTGTTTTAAAATAGGACTACAAATTCTTTGGTACTTCTGCCTTCAGTAACCCAAAATCAAACAAAATGCACTGCCAGTGAGTTAATTTCAACTCACAGATACCTTTTAGGACAGGATAGAACTGTTCCATACAGAGCAGTCTTATCTTCCTCCTGTGGAGTGGCGGGTGGGTTTGAACCATCAATTTTGTGGTTACCAGGGCTCCTTTCTCTTTTCAGTTGTTGTTGTTATTTGTTGTTAAGTGTTGTGGAGCTGGTTCCAACTCATAGCAACCCTGTGTAAGTTTTCCGAGCGGCAACCAACCTTGCAGTTTAAACCGACCTTGCGCATCCTGTTTGTCCCACAGCAAACTTAATTTCTTGTCCCTAGAGTGTGGACAGAAGCAGGCACTCACTTTTAAAAAATAGAATATGACAGAAGTGACAGTATGTGACTTATGATATTAGTGTATAGGAGGTATTACAGCTTCTTCCTTTGTCTCTCTTTGATTACTGACTGTGGTGGAAACCGTCAATCATACCACAAGGACATTCAAGCAGAGGTCCATGCGGTAAATACCAATAGCTATGCGAGTGAGAGGGCAGGCAGTGTCTCTGTAGGATAAACACTGGACTGTGAACCCCAAGGTTACTGGTTCAAGTCCCCCAGCCTCTCCCTAGGAGAAAGATGAGACTTTCTGTTACCGCAAAGATTTAGTCTCAGAAGCCCTATACAGGTTCCTCTGAGTCAGAACCAACTAGACAGCACTTAACAACAACAACATGGGAGTGAGCCATCTTGGAAGCCCCAGTCCAGGTCCAGTCAAGCCTTCAGATGTCAGCAGCCCCTGACCAACATCTTGACCACAACCTCATGTGAGATCCTGGGTAGAACCACCTCACTAAGCCACTCCTGGACCCTGCCAGCAGAAACAGGAAAGGCAATGCATGTCTCTTGTTAGAAGCTGCTTCATTTGGGGATCTTTTGTTAGATGGCTAATACAAGAGTGTGAGGAGTAGTTCAATCTACTCCATTCTCCTGGATAAACATCTAGAAGCTTATAACTTATGAATAAGGAGCAGACACTGACATTAGCTAAAAAGCCACAGACAATGGATTGTAATACTGACTTGCTACATCTAAAATTCAAGTGGTGATGTCCTAGAAGAAAGTGGAAGAGTGGGGAACAGATACTGTTCACAGCATCACAGCAATTGGAGCTAACAGCTCTAGAACCATTTGGAGGCAGTCAATAGTAGGGCTTTAAAAGTAAGGAAGACTTTCCCTCCCATAAGCTTAGAGTGCTTCATAAACATACTACTTTCATCCAATCTTGTGCTAAAGTATATGTTTCCATGAAAATGGAGGGAAAAAAATCCAAACATCTTCTT